GGGGGGGGGCGTATGAGGGACACTATTTGTTCCTGTGAACATGCACACACACACACACACACACACACACACCAGCTTGGACACATGCAACTTAAACTTCACAACTGATTTGGCTTCACAATTTCCTGGCCCCGTGAAATGCCATCATTCATAAGCCCGGCGAAAGGACGGAATTGCCGTTTTATCCGAGGAGGACTCTCACCCTACCCACAACACCTAATCTTCCCCGAGCTGATGTAATCCATCTTGTTGTTTTACTCAAGTCTGTGTTTTCTCGGAGCGTTTTTGCGCACCACTGAGTGTTGGTGCGACCGGCCTCTGTCATGATGAGCAGTCATGGGATACTCATTTCTCATGTTGTTGTTGTTGTTTTAACCTCATTAATCTAAGTAAATTGTTCTGTTGGTGTTTGTGTGTGAGTGATTGACTTGGTTGCCATTGCCTTTTCCACAGTCAAGCCTAATCGTGTTACAGTGCTTTGAGATAAAGATCTAGATCACACACACACACACACACACACACACACACACACACTGTCCTGTATGTCATACTCAATGCTCTTTTGGCATGCAGCCGTGTGTGTCACTCTGGCTTCTGGTGTCTCCTCTGTGTTTTTCTAAGAGCCTGATGGCTTTGGTTACTTACAGAGATGTGTGTGTGTGTGTGTGTGTGTTGGTGTGTGCGTGCGTAGGTAGGTACATGCAGGTATTCATGTGCAGAATGATGCCATTCGTTGCTGTTGTGTAAGAGAAGAGATGATTTTTTTCCCCCTTTTACATTGCTACAGGTAGGCGTTTTCAGAGCGTTGCGATTGGAGTAATGCGTTTCTTTTGTGATTGTGTGTCAGTGAGTATGTTGGTAAGTGTGTGTGGCACTGGATAATGTTGTCTTGTGTAATGCCGGCTTGCTGTATGGAGTATGTTTGTGTATTTGTGTGTGTTGTTGATTGCAGACTCTAAAGGGCTGAAACAAAAAAGACCCGCAACTTCTGGTTCCCCCACTTTTTCAGAAAGAAGCAAGATGCAAGATTCAACCAGTGGTCATGTAAAATCAAAATAAGAGCCTTTATATTTCGACAAACATGACACAAATAAGTTGCAAAAGCACATTTGGTGCCTAGTATAGTATAGTAATAGCCTTTGATACAATATGCTACATACAACACATCACCTGCAGTGCTTCCCTGTGACTTTAGACATGAGGTTGAGCTCAAATAGCAGAGAGCACCACGTGCACTTAATACGACAACAATAAGAATTTGTCCAGAAAAAGGAAGGGAACAGTTAAGCTTGTTGGCAACAAAGTGCTGGGAATAATACAAGGTCAATAAGAAAAAATCTGTATTTCAAGTTCTGAAATGTTATGATCATTTGAGAAGAAAGAAGAAAACAAAGTTATTGGATTATAATTTTCCATTCTAAAGGTGGCCTGTCGCATGGGGTGTATCACAGCCACAGTCCATTTTTATATTTACTATGAGCCCTACTGCAACTTGCAAATATACCACAGTTTTTTTTGTTTTGTTTTTAAAATCATCATCATCTATCATGTGAAACAGCGAGAATTGGTTCGGGTGGTAGTGGTCCCACACGTACGCACACATGCCTGTGAACCACGGACTAATTATATTACTTTAAAATGTACTTTTTAAAGTAATATAATTTCCTTAATCTCGATGCAGAGTTGCAGTGAAATGATAGACGTGTCTGCGCTGTGTTTTCACGCTAAAGCACGATGATTGTGTTAGGGAAGAGCAACTGATTTAAAAGCAGACGCTTTCGTAGTGTAGTATTAAAGTCAGTACTTCACTTTCTGATTTTTACCTTAAAAGAAAATTGTTATTTCTGTAAATTGTTTATTTTATTACCAAAGCATTTATCAGTAATACAGTAAAGATGGAAAAAAATATGAATGTGTTGCATGTCCATTTAAGTTGTGTTTTCAGAATTTTTAGATGGTACTCAATCAGGAGAGCCAGTTCCAATAGTGGAAAAAGTTAGCCTGGACTGATCGTAGCACTCACTGATGCACAATACAAACAAAACAGAGACCCACTCATAAAAAAATAGCTCTATAGCATTACTGGTGGTCAGAAACTCCAAAGTGTACCTTTGCCATTGGGGATTAATAAAATGAATCTTTATCTTCATCTTTAAGTAATGCACAAACTACATTCTTCCTATAAGGTCTTGTGTCCTTAGAAACACTGGTGGCATATGAGTGTGAAGTTTTGCACATTTTGAACAAATGGCTCAAGAAAGGCCCTAAATCACAGATACATGGGTTTGTGTAAATTTTCATTTATTTTCATTCATGAGAAGGCAGTTTTAGTTGAACTGTCAACAGTATCTGGCGGTTTTTGGTTTTTATAAATCTCATATCTCCAAATTGTCTACAGGGTCTAAGAAAAACAGCCTTGTTTTATAACTGACCATTGTGCATTTTTGAGTTTATCCAATCTGTTTTGGAAAGGCTTTTTTAAGCTCAAGTGGCTGGAAATTTTTCTTAAACCATATTGGACCATGAACTCCTTCATTTGAAGTGTAAACATGAAAATCTAAAAATCAAAAAATTGGGTTACAGGCTTTCAACGGCTAGATTCAAAGCCCAGACCCCAACTTCTATCTGCTGCTGTGTTGAAAAACCTCTCCACTTTGTAATTGTTTTCATTTACTTCAGTAATATCTTTATATTTTAGTAGGTAATTTAAATGTTTTTTATCTTTATCTGACATTTCTATATCAGCATTGTTACTAACTTGCGTGCATGGTTCTCTGTCCCCGCGTTGACTTATTCTTTCTGCATCCCTCTCCAGCAGAGCTCCAGTAACGGAGCTCCAGAGAGCCAGAAGGTGGACGGCGGCTCCCTCAGCCCAGAGGCAGTGGAGGAGCAGCGGGTGGCAGACGGCAAGCGTATTGGCCGGGACCCCGATACCCGATCAGTGTCCTTGCTAGAGCAGAAACGCAAAGTGGTTTCCTCCAGCATTGATGTCCCTCACGCCAGGTAAGACAGGGTGCATCTGCATGTATAGAGTGCCAGAGTCTGATTCCCGTCCTAGAGGGAGTTTGGCTTGACTTCATACAAGTTCACAGAAGGGTTATGACATAGTTATGTCATCTCATAAATAGGACAGAGATTATATGGAGTGATATCCCATATTTCTCACCCTCAGCCATTTTGGCAGACCACTGAATGCTATGTAATTTGTCAGGAGTCCACTTTTATTCCATTATATATATTTGATTATATGCCATCACACATGTTGCGCTGCACATCAATGGTGTCAGTATGTTGGAATGAATTTATTCATTTCAGTCCTATCTATTGAAGGGTTGTGTACAGAATGTCATTTTTGGAAGAATCTCATGCTGTTGCCTTAACTTGCTGGAGCAATTATGGTTATGGTTAGTTAAATGGCATGCCTCTGGTGGTTTCCCAAATTATAAAAGTGGTGCAACATGGACTCAAGGCCATGAGAGTCAACTAACATAGTAAATCGCATCAGTTACCCTCTTGCACGTGTTTACTGTTCTCTAGCAAATACAGTATGGATTTAGACATGCAGTAGCCTTATAGCCAAAATAGACTTCTATAGACATAAATAGAAGAAATATGCTTGTAATTTGTGTGGGAGAACAGCCATCGCTCTCATGTTTTAATGAAAGTGGGTTACAGAATCCATCTGATCCTACAGTATGTGACACAGAGCCCTATACAAATGAAAACAGTTATTATGTTGTGATGCATGAACTGTTCCCTCACACATTCAGCGATTCTCTTTACACCATACACACACACATATTATTTTAAGGCAGTCAGGATAATTCACCACACTGAAGCTGGTCCACAGTGGAGCAATTAAACATTAATAGGCAGCAGTCCATGGCAGTGAAGAGCCATCTAATAAAGAAACAACACTCTTTCACTATTAAATGTGAAACATTAATACCTTGTAAAGCACAGCACCGTTATCGAGCACCACCCCCCATTACTTGTCCTTATGCTGCTGGAGGAGTCCAATCGATCGTCAACTTGCTGAAAAGTACAGTAAAAGTCGCTCATTTGAGCAGCTTTATCACTGCATCTTGAGCCCTGCTTTAAATTTAATAGAGATTTGCTGATGAATCATTGATTAGGTTCTCTCTTGTTGCCCATTAAGGAGGAAAAAGCTCTTTTTAAATTGAATCTATCCCATGGATTAGACAGACGTTTTACACCTGTCACACTATAATTACCTCCTTGCATAGGGATTGCCATAATATTGATATTTATATGGTTATTGTAGAATGGCTTATTGATCATCTTCCTGCCTCGTACAATTTCAGCTGTTTGCAGAAGCTCAGGGACAATCACTTTATAAACCAAGTTCCTGTTTATCTTTCTAATGAGACTATCGGTCAACAAGAAAGCCATGGGGAATGTCTTAAATCACAATTTACCCTCAACATTCAATAATCTTGATATAATGCTAAAGAGAAACCATAACCTTTAAAAAGCTTCACATCTTTGCAGTTATTAGTGTGGGCACACACACCGCATTTCAGTAACTCACCCAAGTTGTCTCTCCAGCCAAAATTCCAGCAGGAATGAGTATGTGTTGTTTTATTTAGCCTGTCCAGGCGTTACTGAAGCATTTTTAGTTAGTGTGAGAATTGTCAGCCACCCCCCCCCCACTTAAGTAGAAACAACAAGAGCTGTGTTTTGGACAGCCATGATAAGAAAATATCCAAAGCCTCTGGAAACATATGATAGTGTGGCATACCAGCTGAGAAGCTATCAGTATATTTATCAGAGTCTTTATTGTGTTTCAGTGGTATGCTCTGCTGACACAAGTTGAACTTTATCTTTTTATTTCTGTACCGCTACTGCTAATTTAATCATCTCTTCTCAGGTAAGAAAGAAAGGAGTAACTGTAAGTATGTGTGTGTGTGCTCAGTGCATAATGTTACAGTTCAAGTGTTACATACATACCAGTTTTCTTCATAAGAGTTTATAAGTATGGCCCCTAATGTAGATTCAGGAACAGAGAATGGGATGTTATCTAGAAGTTACACTTAACTCTCTTATTGCATGTTTCTTGCTTCCAAATATCCTCACAGTTCAAGTTCAGCCAGTTCATCCCTTCTTAGTGTCACAGGCTTTTTCTAGCCAACAACCCAGACTTGACATCTAATTATTCTGTGTATAGCACTTTAAAGCCTGGTACTCAAAATCCAAAGATCTACTGTGCTTGTCAAGTGCTAAATCAAACCAACTGCAAAACCGGACCTAAAAAATCCATTTTAGCCCAATTTATGAAGTGTGCTCACACAATCAAGAACATGGAAAGTTCACTCTGCCACATCTTAAGAGCCTGAGCTGTTTTCTCAAATATCCCTATAGTGACCTCTTCAGTGCACAGCACCATTATTGCCTTGAGATTAAGATCCATAGCTCTCATCCTCTGCACACCTGCGACCGATTTTCAGCCTCGCTTTTGCACTGGAGAAGAAATGGTGTCGCCACCGACCACAAAGTAATGTTTATCTGTAATGGAGACAAGGGAGAGATGGAGGGAGGGAGGGAGGG